CCATCTAAGGTAAAATTTCATTTTCCTTCATAATGACATCGACAGCCAACGACCCAAAAAACCTACGCCATTAAGCATAGCTTTTTCATAGTACCAACCACAACTACGACTTCCAGGTTCAACTTCTTGCCAATCAAATGTCAGCTGCAAGGAAGTTCCCAGACAAAGTCACCTGCCAAACAAAAATTAGTGTTCAGCATAAGTTTTGCTCCGTATAAAAGTGAATCATAAAATAAAAGGCCCTCCTTGACATCAAGGAACTACAATTATAAAAACCACAGTTGATTTCATCAAGTCCTTCAGTGCGCATCTGATCACAGTTTAATCATCAAAAAAGGTAAGAGGAACAAGAAGGAATATTTGAAAGCTATGCTTTATGTTTCATCAGTAAAGAACTTACTCCATCTTGCAACATAAAGGTTGTACAGAGAGAGACATCAGGCAATGTTTATCTCATATTTGGACATACAAGTACATTAAACAATGATGATCAACAGCGTCAAACACTTAGATCTGGGATCTACAAAATTAACAGGCTGCATATGCACACACAAGTATAGGATTGAATAATATCAAGTAATCCATAATCCAGCATTCTGAAACACATAACCACTATAAGCCAGAAAATCTAGGTAAACCTACTGTCAATCCTACAAGTTATCTTCTTTCATTTTTATGTGTTGACAATTTTATGACCAACAAAATGTTACCTAGAGCGTAAAACAATGATGATCAACAGTGTGTATCAAACTTGGCTTCAAGCCCCAGACTTATAAAATTAACAGGCTGCATATGTCCACATAACTATAGGATTCAATAAGATCAAGTTGATAATCCAGCATACCGAAGCTCAACTATAGGGGTGACATAACCACTACTCAAAAGCCACAAAATCTAGGTAAACCTAGTGTCAATTCTGCACGTGCTTTCTTGTTTTTATCAGCGTCAACCCAATATCACTAGTGGAGATTCTCTCTTTCAATCTGCAGAAGACATTTTTCAACTACAAACAAATGTACCTAGATCAATACCATAAATTCACTCCTTGCAACACTCGTTTTCACTGAAAAATAAACCCATTATCTTTCATGTCTTGATCAAAACAAGAATATCCCTAAACTTCTCTTTTCCTCCTTGTGTTGCCTAGCACATTCAATTCCTCATATTTCTTCTACAACATCCAAGATAAAAGCATCATTATTAGGCCATAGACAGGAAACCAGCCAAAACGTAGGCCCTGAAAATAAAGCCTATAGAGAAAGTTTGGAGAACATTTTGCATTTATGAAAGGATGATTTTGAAATTGCAAGATTCAGGTATTATCAAATGTTTTAGGACCAAAGAGAAACATTGGATCTGCAACAGTACAAGGAAAGAGAAGGGATGGAATCAGTTGCATTTAATGCTTGATAGGTACCTTCTCGCCTAATTTAAATGCTGGAAGACCCTTGTAAGGACATGTACTGCACCGAAAAGCATCACCTAGACCACACTGCACAAACAAAATGCACAGATCAGATGGTAGGAAATATAACAAAAACTCCACCTACAAACTCCAAAATCACATAAAGCCTTGATAATGATTGGATAAGAAAAATTCGTTGAAACCAAAATCACCATTCCGTTACCCATAATAGTAAATAATCAAAAGCAATACAATGGTAAGGCATGGATTGACAATGATCAAGTTCAAGCTCTGTAAAAAGTAATAACATCATTTTATTATAAATTTGACAGAGACTTCAAAGTTGATTTATCAAAGAATTTCTCATATATATCATAGATTTCCTTTCAGCTTTATTTCGTAACACAAGCAAAGCATAAATCAATATATGTGAACTATAATTCTTCCGCCTCTAACATTCAACAAACGTAATTTGCAATTGCAGAAAAAAATATAAATATCTCTGTCCCCTCAAGTATCTATAAGGACTGTTCTTCTCCCACTCGAATAACGATAGTTCCCCCTCATCATTTGAAGTGTGGAGTTGTCTGACAAAAAAAAACCAGCTTAACTAATTCATTTCCTACATTTACAATGAGGTGATGAGTTTAACCCACAGTGAATATTCTAGGTTGCCACATACCACAAGATCAGACCTTCTACTGAACAACACATTAACTGCAACTCCCTTCTAAGGTCAATTAAAGTGCCATAGAAAGTGATCGGCAGACATCATACCAGTAGCGCAATCCAGTTTTTTCAAGACAGAGATGAGCCATTATAGGTTAAAACTTACTAGAGGATCTAAGACATCGAAAGTAAGAATTGTCATATAATTGCCCATAAATGATCCACTTCTAAATGCTACGGCATGTGGAATTATACAGGCATTATCAAATTAAACATACATTTCCACAAGCAGATTGAGGATTATCCAGCTGATCCATGGTAACTCCAAGCTTCTGCACTTTCTCCTCTTCTTCAGCACGCCCACAAGTGCAATTTTTGCAGGCTTTCCTCGTGCTTCCAACTTCACAATCACCTATTCCAGAAGCAAGCATGCAACTAGCATGATCGGGGGTAAAAGTAAAACATTGCAGAAATAAAAAACAATGAAGTTTATCATTCTGACTGACCAGGTAGTGGCTGGGGTTTCTTCAAATCCTCCTCAGTTAGGAGACTATCTTCATCAATCAGATCCATATCATCATCAATCTGCACTTTGGGTAGAGACTGTGAGGTTTTCTTAATTGAGAAGGATGAACCAATCTTCCACGAAGGTTTCTTGCCTATAATCTGTGGAAAAGATAATTAAAGTCAGGAATTTTCATAAGCCACATCAATATCTTAAAGGGTTGACAAAAGAATCAAAAACTGATATATGGACTGCTCAATAAAGCTTGTAACAGTTACTTTTTCAAGAAAAAAATTTCCAGGTCAATATCATTAAATGAAATTACACAAGTACCTTGCAATAAAAGGACAACCAAAATAAGATATTTAATATAGGAACTAAAAGCTGCTAAATGATTCAACATATAAATATAAAAATAGTGTGCATAGCTTGCAGATTAACAACATCAGCTCCAGCATACTTCAATCCTTCAGTGACTACAGTAGATTCCTCAACTCTCATATAACAATTGACATGGAAAACTGGGAGTATTTTATTTCAAAAAAGAGATGGTAGAAGCAAAGGAGCATAATTACCAAGCTCAGACATTAACCCCACAAAAGGTTGAGTCATCAGGTAAATTCAATTTGCAAGTCGTCGATTAAATCACAGTTCTCATGAAAATAATATAAAACATACTCAAGGTTATTAAAATTCTATCTAGCCCTTGTTTGGTCCCCAATATTTTCAAAATATATTTTCCTCTTATTTTTAACCACACATTCTTCAGTAAAATAATATTACATGCAAAACCAAAACTTTGCCTTATTTTTTAACCACACAATCTCCATAAAATCACTATTCCAAAATACATTTTTGTCAAAAAAAAATGGGGCTCAAACAGGCTCCTAAATACTTTACTAGTGTAGGGGCCTCAAGAGCCCCTACACAGACGATAAAGGAGTTCTCTTTTTTCTGGTCTAGCATTTGGGAAATCAATTATGGAAACTAGGGTAGTATCATAAAAGGCTAATCAAATGTTGTTCTAATTCCAATAGGAGGAGTTGACAATTGAATCTGATTTTGACCATTATTTTAATATCCGTAATAGTGCAATAATAAGGTCCAACAGCCCGAAATAATGAAGTGTGGTAACTGGCAAGGTCGCTACTGATGAATGGTGGGTGCATGGAGAATAATATTGATTCGAGCTCCATTTCCCTCAATCAAGGTGCACCTCCTGGCGCCCCTAGGAGATTAACATTTCATTTGACGTATAATATGGACCAAAATGTATTCCAAATTTTGATAAAACACGATAAAAATAATAAAAATTTGTTAACGAGCTAACAAATCCCATCATTTTATCATTGAAACTCTAAATCGAATTCATCGCAACAGTCGCTGAATCATATTATTATCAATGTGTTACTGAAAAATAAAGTGATAAAATATCATCAATTTGATGACAAGAACCAGTTCAGTACACCGGCTTTTACAAATCCCCCTGGCAATGCCCAGCCCACCATGTTTTGGTCAATCAGCTTGGCCAGGCCAAGTTTAAAACAATACACGTGGAGGAATGTGTGTGTCCATGTGGGCATAAGAGCATAAACAGCAGAGAGTGTGTGTGAGAGAGACGCACCCCAAAGGACTGGCCATTTTCAGCAGATTGTACATCCAGAAAACCAGCCAGAAGGAACTTGCCCTTGAGAGAAGAGTCTGTCTGCAATGAGACCACAAATAAAATCAGTAAATACTTTCAATGGATGGAAGATGGTTACAAGTTAATTCATCAAGAAATTTTATCTTGTAATAAATTACCACTTTCCCAGTAGCAGATTGAGAAGTCCAATGAAGGACAGTTCCACCGGGCTTCAACACTCTTGAGATGTTGACAAGCAATTGATCATTGGGAAGCTCAAATGAGTTACCAATATATACAACAACATCCATAGATGAAGATTCCACCGACAGCAGACCTGCCATAAATTGACAATAAATGTAAAAATGACATGAATCAATGGAAATCACAACATCAATAGGCTATTAGCCAGAATAGTAATCCACTACGGCATCAACCTACAATTTGAAACCAACACGAAGATTTTATGATCAATAGTCTTTCAGAAAAAAAAAATAGAAGATTAGGCACTATTAAGTGAAACTGCAAGGAAGGGACTGACACAGTTCACTGCATCTGGAACTATATTAGGCAATATGTGCATTTCACTTATTGAGGGTTCAAGTATTAATTTCTTACAAGTAAAAAATAACTTAAGAATGTGATGGGAATAAATCAGATCCAAAAATTATCATGCCTACCACATCAAATTTTGATCAAAAGATATATATAGATGTCTCCATCCATCAATCATCTTACTAACAGCACATGGTTTGCATTGAGATAGAATAAAATAAGATTTTCATTTATGAGTTTCAAAGTACAGTAATTTGTAATGTATAAATTGGAGATTTTGTAACTTTCTATGCTTTTTAAACAAGTAAAATGAACTTATACTTGATAAGAATTTCCTAAAGCTATGGCCTATGGGTAGAAGTATGATTCAAAGATCATATTCTAATTTTAGCTAACTTTTAAGGATATTATATTTTATTTCTTAACAAAGGATTTTTTTCAAAGGTCAACGTTCGGATCGTGATTAAATGCACAATGTTGATTTGATGGTTGCATGTTATCTAGAGACCAGTCCTAGCCCCACATTCTCTTCCGACACTACCATCCACAGGAATTAAATGAGTTGAAGCCAGCAGGAAAATTGATGAACTGCAAGCTTAGCTTCGAGATCCTAAGAAACAATAGTGAATGATCTTTGGTCGAGCTCGCATATTTACGTTTATCAGCTTGTTTACCGAAGCTTTATAACTTGATGAAATCTGGAACTGGCCAAGCGGAGCTTGTATAGCTACAAACTGAAGTAGTTTTTTCTTGTGGAAGATCAAGTACAAAAATTACCATCTAATGTAGAGCATTAACTTGTCATGCATTGGCTTCAAAGCAGCATTTGACTAGGGTTTTTATTTCATTTTTAACAAAAGAATTTCCTTGAATTATGATAAACTGGCTGTTTTTTCATTTATAGATAGAAATTATCATTAAGGATCTTGTTGGAGATATGAAGATAGAATCCAATGCCACAACATTTGGTGCCTTTTGGGGCAGAGGAATAGACATAGATCATGGGGTTGGATAAGGCAGACCCCTTCTTGGTTCTGAGGTGATTGTAGATTTGCACTGCTGCCCAATGTGTATAAAATAAAATACTCACATCTCCCTCATCAAAATATGCCGCCTTACCTCACCATAATACCTTACTAAAACATTCCATTAAAGCTTTGCACCGCTTGAGATCCAGTACTGGTGAGTCAATTTAACCCTACTTTTTCTTACTCAGGCTACAATATGCAATATACACCCAGGTTACGCTAAAATGTAATTGAGATTTGCCCATATCTCTACGTCATAAGATGCATTTCTGCCCAAATAGCATAAAGCCACTTTTGAACTAAAGAGGTGAACATGGTTTAATTAAAAAAATAAAAAAATATTTTGGTCAGGAGAAAAAAAAATCTATTTTCATCACTTGGGATCCCAGCCCAACTGGTCTAATCTCAAAGTGAAAAGAATTTCAAGAGCCATATATACTACAAAATAGCACAGCACTTGTGGTTGAATAGCGGCAGGAAGAATCAGACACTTTAAAATCATTTTGGAGAGAATTTATTTTTCCTAACCCTAGTATATTTTTTTAACTTCCCACATACTCCAGTCTCCCACCCTATCAACATTCTGTAAAACTAATAAATTTTTCTTTCAAATAAATTGAAATCATGATCTAATTTGCTAAAATCAGCGTGTCACATCAAAGCAAGTTAAGTAACAATCTACAACAAATTAACTATTTCAAAACAAATAACAAGAAGAGTTAAGAGGGAGGAAATTTACTGTCTGGTAAAGCTTGAGTGATAATTATAGGATTGAACTTCTCCGCCCCTTCCTTTCTTAACACCTTAATTGCATCTGAAATTGCATTAAGAGACACCACTACTTGGTCCGTGAGGGCTAAAATTTTCTCCTGTGCCATCGTAGTATCCTACAAAAGTAACAAATCAAATAACTAAGTTACAATCAAACATTTTAGAAAATAAGAAGGCACTGATTCTTAACAACAGGTCTTTGTTTGGGAAAATTAATAATATAAGAAGTCGCGTGCATTGAGTTCGAAGATCTTTAAAAACCCTAAATTTCTTACTGTAGTTAACGAAATTTTACCGAGGAAAATAAACAATAAAATACAAAAAACAAGAATTAATAACTACGTTAAATATGAAAGGTTGTTTATTTATGTACTTCCGTGAAAGGTGCAAAGGATCAAAAAGAAGAAAAAAATTGGCTAATTTCGAATTTAATAGAGAGAAAAAATAATATAGGAATTCACCAAAATAATATGGAGCTGAGGAAGAAACCGACGGGCGTTCGTTGATAGGCGGCGATGAGAAAAGGAAACGGAAAATTAATCTCTCTTTCTAAAATCCTCTTTTTTGGAGTAGCTGTAAATGTGAAATTGACGCTACATGTAATGCTGGGTAAGGAGTCGCGCCGACTTATTGGTAGCGCGTTCTAAACCTTTTGAACCGGGTTTACTAAACGGATTATTGTGAATTGTAAGTTTTGGGGGCGGCAATGGGCCGGACTTCCAAAAATCCGGTCCAATCTCGGAAATGAACCGGTACGGTCCAGCTCTGGCCCTATTTTGAAAAATAGGTTGTCTAACATATTTTTAATTTTTATATATTTTTTTGTATATTTGTAAATTGTTCGCATTTTATATTTTTCTTAAAAGAATTTTATAGGGCTAAGAGTTGGCTCTCTCACGGGTAGTATTCTAAAAGGCACACTTACACGAGTGTTTTATTGTTGACAAGTGATATTTTCTTGATTTAAAATACGATCCAACAAATGCTCAATTGTTAACTTAAAAAAGAAATAAACTCAAGAAAAAAGAAAAATCTACATCGGCCCAAACCCCGTCCACAAACATAGTTTTATCTTATTACGAAGAAAACATTTTTAATGCGAGGTATTTACAATTTGAGAAATATGTTTATTTTTGAAAACTTGAAAAATATGTAAGAAGTTTCTGCAAATTTTCAAGTTATGCACTATTTTATTTTTTTATCAGTCTAAAATAATTAATATTATAATAAAAAATCGAAAAACATCTTATTATGTATAAGTTGTAATTATTGAGATTTGACATTCATGCTTTGATCGCTGTAGATCCATGAAAGTGATGATAAATGTGTCCGCGAAAGTGGAAAGAGGCCTCGCTCGGTCGACCTTGAGCCCTATAAAATTGTGGTTTTTCATAGGACAGGCTATGAGACCAAAGGGAGGCTTGAACCTAATGCCAACTCTAAGTTGTAAGTTTTATTCGAGATTAAAAAGATTACTAAATTTTTATTAAAATGATTAGTGTCAAAAAATATTAATTCGTCATGTCAAAGTTCAATCGAACCCTAACCCAAAGCTAAGCCCATGCTTGATGGTTATTAATTTGAAAAAAAAAATGTTTTGAATAATGAATTTTAGGAGAATGTGTATTTATAAATTATGAAAAAAAAAATTAAGTTTACGTGTAAAATATTTTATTAAGTAAATATATGATTGAAAATGAGAGTAAAACCCATCCAGAGGGGCTAATTCAAGTAAACGACACAGTTTCATGCATCATTGTTTCAGAAATCGCATAGTTGAAAACAAGTACTTTTATACATAACTAGTGGGGAAAACGTGCGTTGCACATTAGTTGATTATTATCTACAAAATAGAAATGATTATATTTTAGAATTCTTCATGGTTTAGATTTGTCCAGGAGGAGAAGGACTTTTAGTTATACAGAATTTTCCCTTTTCTAGTACAGTCGATAAGCTCTTTAGCATATGTTTCAAAACCTGTCAATTTCTTGTCTAACATATTAATCTTCACAAGAAATGCTTCAAATTGACCAGTATAGTCCTCTTCTGCTTCATTTGCCTTCTGTTCTAAAATTAAGCAATAAACTTTTATGATGTTTGTAGCATCTATGCAACTTCAAATATTAGACAAAATAATAGGTCATATTTGCAAAGTCATCATTTCTCCAACTTTCATAATCGGCAAAGAAAACATAACAAAAATTTTAGCCAAATGTAGTATCCATGAATAACAATATCCAAAAGATAAGGTCACCATCATGTTGTCAAATTGCCTTGAGAAGTTTTGTATGCATAAAACATAATAGACCATGTGAAGTAGGATCAATCCAATAACATGAAGAAGCAACAATTAATATAGAAATTGACTACAGTCAACAAAACCAAAATTTCCATAAATTGACTGAAAAAAAAAAAAGAAAAAGAAAAAATCTTACCTCATATTAGCAATTGATGGAGCAGGCTGTAGAAGAACCACCGCTGAAAACCTACATTGTAAATCTGGGAGTTTTTTCTATTAAATCTAAGTTTGAATATTCATGTCAGGATGAAAGAGGACGTAGAAAGTATTGATTGGTGCAAATGTCTACTACCATCTTTCATCTGTACATAGTCATTTTGTCTGGAGAAACTAATTTAATAGGATATCCGAAAATGAAGCATTTTATATATTTCAGCAAAAAAAATTCACAGTTTGGCCTGTGGAAGAGAAATTTTTTCGTTAAAATAAATTAGCTATAGAGATAAATATGAAAATAAAGTGAGATGAAAAAGAAGTAAATAATATTTACCCATTATTTGTACAAGGCAGGTAGGGTATAATTCCACTTCCATCTGTTTGTTTCAATTTTTCTTTATAATTGGACTGACGGAAACTTCTGACAATAATAATAATTGGACCACATATAATGTTGCGTTTGCATGATCCATGACCTCGTGTGGTATAAACACTATGTCTACAATCATATATCTAGAATTTTCATTCTCGAAAACTCACACGAAAAATATACCAATTATTGCCTTGATGCCAGCATGGAATTAATAAATAATTGCATGCTAACCATGGGCTACCACTTGATGGTAAAATGACATTCATGTATTGTTCTAGACGAGCAAGATTCAGTGATTGTTTTTTACTTGCACTTCTGCTTGTCCGCATCATTTACTCGTGAGTACATTCGGCTTCAAATCCAAAATCGAGAATTGCAAATTCCTTTGAAAGACCAGTACAACCTTATTTGATAAGTCGCCTCAACAAATGTNAAAAAAAAACCTTACCTCATATTAGCAATTGATGGAGCAGACAGTAGAAGAACCACCGCTGAAAACCTACATTGTAAATCTGGGAGTTTTTTCTATTAAATCTAAGTTTGAATATTCATGTCAGGATGAAAGAGGACGTAGAAAGTATTGATTGGTGCAAATGTCTACTACCATCTTTCGTCTGTACATAGTCATTTTGTCTGGAGAAACTAATTTAATAGGATATCCGAAAATGAAGCATTTTATATATTTCAGCAAAAAAAATTCACAGTTTGGCCTGTGGAAGAGAAATTTTTTCGTTAAAATAAATAAACTATAGAGATAAATATGAAAATAAAGTGAGATGAAAAAGAAGTAAATAATATTTACCCATTATTTATACAAGGCAGGTAGGGTATAATTCCACTTCCATCTGTTTGTTTCGATTTTTCTTTATAATTGGACTGACGGAAACTTCTGACAATAATAATAATTGGACCACATATAATGTTGCGTTTGCCTGATCCATGACCTCTTGTGTGGTATAAACACTATGTCTACAATCATATATCTAGAATTTTCATTCTCGAAAACTCACACGAAAAATATACCAATTATTGCCTTGATGCCAACATGGAATTAATAAATAATTGCATGCTAACCATGGGCTACCACTTGATGGTAAAATGACATTCATGTATTGTTCTAGACGAGCAAGATTCAGTGATAGTTTTTTACTTGCACTTCTGCTTGTCCGCATCATTTACTCGTGAGTACATTCGGCTTCAAATCCAAAATCGAGAATTGCAAATTCCTTTGAAAGACCAGTACAACCTTCTTTGATAAGTCGCCT